GCGCCGCGCCGCCGTCGACCCCCTCCCCGCGCCCTCCCTGACGCGCCCGCCCCGCTCCCGTCCTCCCCCGGATCCTCCCGTCCCGACAGGCGAGGGCGTCGCCGACCAAACACCAGCGGGATCGGACCGAACCCCCGGCGCCGTCGATCGTTCGATCGCGATGACGACCGCGCCTCCGTCCGCGCCGGCGTCGCCGCCGACGCCGTCGTCCGGCTCCCCCGGGCCGTCGCGCCCGGCGCCGAGCGTCATCGGGAACGAGTTCGTGAATCAGTACTACGCCGTCCTGCACGCGACCCCGGAGCTGCTGTATCGCTTCTACAACGAGGGCAGCTCGCTCACGATCGCGGGCGTCGGGTGCGTCTTCCGCGCAGAGTCTCCCTCTCTGCACAGCTGTGATGACTGGCGTCGTTTTTTTTTTCTCTTCGCGCCGTCCTCGTCCGTTCGCCCCGTCCATCCGTCCATCCATCGCGACTCACGACGATTCCATTCCGCTTCCGTTCCGTCGATCGATCGACGCGCAGGCATCCCGCGCCCCCGGTCACGGCGCGGACGCAGCGCGGCATCAAAGACGCCATCGTCGCGCTCGCGTACGACAAAGACAAGGCTGAACTCGCGAGCGTCGACGCCGACCTCAGCGCGGGAGGGTCCGTCGTCGTCATGGTCACCGGCGCGCTCGCGTCCACGGCGCCGGGGGCGGAGCGTCGACCGAAGCGGAATTTCGTGCAGTCGTTCGTGCTCGCGCCGCAGGAGAACGGGTACTACGTCCTGAACGACATCATTCGGTTCCTTCCGGCGCAGCCGGCGGGCGACGGCGCCTTGAAGGTCACCTTGAAGGCGGCGGCGGCGGCGACGGCGACGTCGAAGAACGGCGTCATGGCGTCCGTCGGCGCGGCGACGAACGGCAGCGCGATGAAGACGATGCCGTCGCTGCCGACGACGAACGCGACGTCGCTCGAGGCGGTGGAGGGGCGGATCGTCGAAGCCGCCAAGGCTGCGGCGGCGGCGACGGCGGCGGCGGCGGCGGAGGAGGAGCGAGCGCCGTCCGTCGCGGTCGCGGTCGCCGCCGAGGAGAAGAAGCCGACGAGCTTCGCTGAGGCGCTGAAGATGAAGGCTGCCGCGGCCGCGCG